TTCAGAAGGTATGTGTCCTCTATGTGTTAAGATTCACAAACATGTACCGTGTGTTTATGAACATGTACACTGTATTAGTCACTCCTTAAAAATGAGTTTAATTACCATAAATTATAGCAACAGACAAAATACTCTTAACAGCCACTGTTCACATTACAAAATATCACATGCACGTATAAAACAGTGACATCAAATCTACTTTTATGTAGCTTTCTACATGTTTCAACACAAAAACCTTTCTCGAGGCATCATCACAATGTCCTCTTACTTCATCTGTTGCAAATACAAATTTTTGACTTAATTCTTTGTACAGGTATTTACATTGATGGCCCTTCAATATCAAACAGATTTCAATTCTATGCGTCAACTGGCTTTCCTTAGTAATTAAGTACATGTTCAGTTGGCTTTACAAGCCATCTAACTCGAGCTATTTAATGCACACAAGATTTTCCTCTATTATAACATTGTGCAGTAGAATGTTCTCGATGTGTCCTGGTCTAGGTGAGTCCATATCTTCGTAATCACAAAGCTCCCTATCATCTTTCTGCCAACATACATTTATCATTGAAGACCAACTACTCCTTCCTAATTTGACGCCTAAAACTGAACCAATCATATCTACATGTTTTGTTGATCTGCAGGTACTACAAACATTCTACTTCTTCATTATTTGGATGTAAAACATTGTACATTCTTCTTTAAAAATACATCCCTTTCTCTTATAGTACAGTTTTCAGTGTTGATAATTCTACACCATCAAATGAACTTTTCAATTACACGGTCTTTCTCAGGTGCTGTATTGATAAAAATAACTTCGCTGGAGGATTTCTGTAATGGCATTTGAAGGATAAGATAAACTGCTTCTAGAGCAGATAATTCCACATGACTGAGGAACTTGTCACCAATTGCTTTGACTTGCCTCCTGAGATCCAAATTGCCTTCTTTTGCTTCCTTGCATGCATTAAATAGTAAGGTACTCATTCCCCTTTCTGCTTTTGAAATGTAGCTTACAATTAAGAAATTAAACGAAACTTACCGGGAACTCGAAGTTTGATTGGGATTCTACTTCATCACTGGAAAAAATGGAGGAATCACATGAGATAGCGCTAGCTTATCAGACCTCAGTGTTTAAATCCCATTTCAATAGCCGAAGAAAATAATGAAAAGATTTTTAGGGAGGGCAATTATAAATAAACGAAGGGAAGGGCATGTGATTCTTCCATTTTTTTCCAGTGATGAAGTAGAATCCCAATCAAACTTCAACTTCCAGGAGAGTTTCGTTTATTTTTTTAATTCTACTTCATCACTGTCAAGGTCATTACGGAACAACATGAAAATTGAAAGCTGTAAGGCTATTAAATATAACACGATACAGCATATAATGTTGACCGTAATTTACTAATAAAACGTATAAAAACTATTCTCCTCAAATCAAACTGTCATTATTGATTTACATGACGACTAATTATATGACTTTCTTCTGCTCACATTCCGGGGCAATAAATTTTACAGCTGATTTTGAAAGTAGAAATTTTACACAAGAAAATGAATGGATGCTTGATAAAAAGTATTTCAAGATGCAATATCAAAATTGAATTTTTAAACCTGAAACTGATTTATTTGCTTTACGCAATAATTGTCAAATAGGAAAATTTGTTGCATGGAAACCAGAACCTGAATCATATGCAATTGATGCATTTTCTATTTCTTAGTCTAATATTAAATTGTACTGCTTTCCACCTTTCAGTCTAATGCCAGCAGTTTTGCAGAAAATGGCTGTGGACAAAGCAAAGGGGATATTACTTATGCCAAATTGGCCCACTCAACCATATTACGCAAAGGTCATGAAAATGTTCACAGCTAAGCCACTGTATGTTCACAGACGCAAAACATTACTACAGTTGCCAGGGAAAAGCGAAATCCACAAAATATGGGACAAATTGGACATGCTGATATGCCTATTATCAGGAGATCGATCTCCAACAGAGACCTTCCGGAAAACGTTACCAACATTTTGCTCTCTGACGTCATGGAGATCAAACACAGCCAAACAATATGAATGCCATTTACGAAGGTGACAGAACTTTTTGAAAACAATTGTGGATATTCTGCGATTAACACAGCAAAATCTGTTATTTCAAATGTAATCATTTTGACGGATTTAGAACAAATCACTGTGGGAAACCATCCTTTGGTTAAACGGTTCATGAAGGGAGTGTATAATCAAAAACAATCGCTTCCTAGATACAAATCTGTAGGGGATGTGTCCAAAGTTTTGGAGTGGTTACAGAAAATTGATATCAGCGTTTTTTTTCCCTTGTATAACTGGTACCGATAAACGGTACCATTCCCAATGCCAAAAAACGGTGTTTTTTCCCAATTTTGAGACTAAAAATTCTCAATTCAATTGCCGAAAAAAAGAACCGCTGATATCGTAATATTCTTATTCTGAAAGTTTAAACGTTGTACGAGTTATCTAAAATGTTCACTTCCGATAATAAATCGAAATTAGAGAGCATGGCGGTATGCGTGTTGTAGAGGGCAACTACTACGACTACTGATGTCTCAAAACAGTAAATATTATCCACAGGGGCTTGCTCCCGGCGTGTAATGATTATTTATTTTAAAAAAATCATATACGTTAATACTAAAACTACACAAGGGAGGACGCCATTTTGGACCCTTTCCTCGCTTCAACCTCTGTTTTCGTTATATTTTCCCGTATTCTACTGACTCACCGCCTCGGATCTGTCAAGTAATGATTCTCTTAGGACATAATGCTTAAATTATCCCCTTGGAGCCTCTACAATACACATTTCAGACTAATAATAACCCAAACTCGCTCTTTAGGACAGTTGATAGGGACAGAAAACGAAAGTAACCTCGGCGTTTTACATTCGAATACGGAATTAGAACGCGTTTTTTTTCAAATTTATAATTAGCAGCTGTGTTAACTAGTAGAAAAACCCTGAGATTTTCGAATGTGTTTAGAATACGGGAAAATATAACGAAAACAGAGTTTGAAGCGAGGAAGGGGTCCAAAATGGCGTCCTCCCTTGTGTAGTTTTAGTATTAACGTATATGATTTTTTTAAAATAATTATTACACGCCGGGAGCAAGCCCCTGTGTATTATCGAAAAAAAATTGAAGAAAGACGATTCCAGTAGAAAAATTGACACGCTGTTTCGGAAGCTGTCCGAGAATACATGTAGGTTTATATTTATTACAGAATTCAGCAACATGACAATACTGATTTAAACAGTGGCATGGTTTTTTTTGTTCTTTCCTTTAATACGATACCATGATTACAACAATGCCGAAAGAGAACAAATGCTTATATAATATTTAGGGGATTTAGTTCATTAATGTATTCCTTTTAGGTTCTGAGAATGATTCTCCATTAAGACAGACAGTAACTTTAAGTCAGTCTGGCCCTCAGGCTCAAGATGTCAGCCCACCCTGGGCAGGTGTTTCAGCTGGGCTTGCATTAAGTAAAGCAACTGATTCTGAACCAAGTGTGTCAGAAGAAATTTTAATTACCAGTCCAGAAAAAGTCCAATTATCAGTGACAGCGAGATTCAACAGACTAAAGTAAGTCCTGATACCACTTCTTACTTCCCACCAGACTTTCCAACATACTTACAACAAAATATGAAACTCATTATGATTGGCTTTACTTTAGTGCATCTAAGAATGCCTACTGTTGCAAATATTGTGAAATGTGTGGAGGTGACCCATTGTCAACATCCTCATTTATTGTTGGGACAGTTCTTGGACACCATCCCAACAGAAAATTAAGCAAACCTGAGTCTTCCAATTTGCATGCAGAGTCTGAATGTGTGAAGATGAAAACACCAGAAGCTCAGCCAACTGTCCTTCAACAACTGCTACGGAGACCTGAGTGCAAGGAAATGAACAGAGAATACATGTCTACTATAATTACATCTGCCTTTTTTGTAATCAGAAAGCAGTGGGCAATAGACAGCATTGGAGATATTCTTCAATTCTTACACAATCAAAAATGTCCAAGTGTTTTGAACTTTATGGCAAATCACCCATCAGTGACCTACACATCATCAACTTCTGTGAGAGACATTGTTCTCTCTATCAACAGTTACCTTGAGAAATCACTCCTGGAAACAATAAGGAATTCACCATATTTACGTGTACTTGCTGATGAATCGACAGATGAAGCTAATAGTACTGAGTTTGCAGATTTTTAGGCACAGTGACAGATAACACCATCAAAGACCATTTTTTAGGCATGATCAACGTTAAGAAAACAGACGCAGCAACTCTTATGAGTGAAATTGAAAGATTTTTGATTTCTAAAGAGATAGACATATCAAAAATTCTTTTTGTTGGATTTGATGGGTGTAATACCATGAGTGGTGAAAATACAGGTAGGTCTTATAGTACTATTGGAAGACAAGCATGGAAAGCTCTTCAAGAAAATATAAGATTTCATGATTCCAAATACTTTTTTATTTGATGTCAATATTTTGTAGATTTTATTTTTGTTCATCGAATCTACAGCTTAAAAATGTGCTAAAATTTCTGTAGGTCTCCAACGCCGATTTAGACATGTGTTTGTTTGTACATCAATTGTAGAAGCCATCGTCTAGCACTGTGCGTCAAACACTTGATGAAATATTTTCCTGTACTACAGGATGTAGATCTTGCTCTTCTGGTCATCTATAAGCTGTTTGACAAATCAACTCAAAAGTTTGGTCTTTTTAAGGATGTACAAGCTAGTTATGCAGAAAAGGAGTTGGTCATAAGACGAGCAGCTGCTACAAGATGGTTATCACAGGGAGATGCATGCAAGAGAGTCATTCAAAGATGTATTCTGGTAAGTAAATCCAAACATTTGGTTTAATAATAAGATTTTATGAAGTCAGTTACACACATGTAAACTCTTAAGTTATTATTCATATTGTAAACTATTTCTAATAATTCCAGATTGTTGACACTCTTGATGAACTCTTAAGTAGAAAGAAGCCAGAAATAGTTGATGTACGAGATTCCATTACAAACAAGAATACTGTAGCAGCTATTCTTGTATTATATGACGTGCTTCAACCAGTTTCCATCTTCTGCAAGTATCTTCAAGGATCTGTAGATTTCAGTATGGTTACAGTAATGCTAAAGGTAAAAATCTTATACTTGCTACAAATTATATGAAAGAATTGATTGATTGATTTATTAAAATAATATCGACTAATCTACACATAAGTCATTTATCCACTTCAGGATCTTAACGATTCACTTCACAACCTCATTGAGAGATTTCGGGGAAATCTTACCCACCAAGATCATGATGATGGAATTTACCTTGGAAGAATAGATGATATATTTGCAGAAATTGATGAGAGAACTGTGTTTACAAGGAGGTTAAGGTAATAATGATATGGCAGTTCAGAGAGCCAATTATTTTTATCAAATATTAAAAAATTCATACAAACTATTACAAAATATAATCACTCAGGGACAGACAGGTGTACACACGAGAGAAAGTAGTGAAGGAACTGGCAATTCCAATGGTTCATAAGCTCGTCCAAGAGTTGGAGGATGGATTCCACCTCTCACCAACTCTTGAATCATTTTCACTTTTCAACAAGATTCATCTACATGTACCAGACAATAATGTAGAACTTCAAGATTTTGGCAATGTGAATTATCAAAAATTAATGTAATCAAATAATTGTGTAAGTCATTGCATATTCTGAAAATTTCAATGTATAATCAAACACATGAATCTTAATTTTAAGTTTTAATAACTTAATCATAAATGTATATGATTTCAAAAAGGTATATATTAAAACCCTCACATCTTATTATGGTTTGATGAAAGAAGATGTCTTCCTCAGACATACAACAAATGCTCCTGCTTTGTTTAATAAAAACAACGCTGTAGCAGAGTTCCAGTGCTTTAAACATCAGATGTTTATGTATAGGTAGCACTCCAGTTCAAAAATATGTTGTTTTGAGTTTTGTTTCCTTTATTATTTGTTACATATATTTTGTAGTTGATTTTTCCATTCAGCAGAGTTGTTTGATGGTTGGGTGTTCACATTTTCAAGTTAGAAGTGGCATGGATTCTTTTAATATTTATTTTACCTACCAATTGAATTATGTGAAAGGCTGTTTAATGAAGAATGACTATGAATAATTGCAGACAAAGGGAGCCAGCAAATGATCTGCTGCAGATGTTCTTGGATGATGCAGTTATGAGACACACCTTCCCGTGCATGTTCACGCTGGTCTTCCTCTCCCGTTTAGTTCCCACCAGCACGGCCTCTGTGGAGGGGATATTCAGCTTGATGAACTGCCTATGCACTGAGAACAGGAACAGACTGGGACAGGACACTCTATGTGCTCTCATGAGAATTTGCAGACATGGTAGTCAGTCACTGACGCCACTGCAAGTGTCTAGCATCAAAGACACTTTCAAAAACATGAAAGCTAGAGAAATAACTTGTAAAGGATGGAATACTACCTGTTTTGTTCTTTATTTTTGAAATAATTAATTTCTGATACACTGCTAGAAAATTCCCAATTTGTTTCATTTTGACGCTTTTTTCCAAATTGAATGGGTACCGGCACCAGTACCAATGGGTAGGGAAAAAAAACGCTGGATATTGACGACGTTACTTTGAAAATGTTGACTTTGAAAACAGTCATATTGTTAGCCCTGTTATCGGGTCATAGAGTTCAAACTCTACGTGGGTTGTCGATAAATAAACCGAAATTGACTAAAGCTTCTGCAAAATTTCACATAGAGACTATACTAAAGCAAAGTAAACCTGGTCGACATTTATCAATAATTAATCCACGAGCTACCATGATAGACTCTGAATATTAATTTGGCGTAAATGACGTTTCTTAGTGAAACCTTGTTTCATCATTTGTCTCCAAATTTCCTTGTTCACTTCAGGAACCATCACCTTTTCACAATTTCTAGGTCTTTTATGCACTTCCTTCTTTTTTTGACACTTTCAATAGCATGTTGCTTTGAAAAAGCCTTATTGGTAATATATGCCAACTTTTCAGCCACAGCAGGCCCCACATCATCCTCATCCTCATGTAAAGCATCCATTTCTTCCAGCACCGAGCCTTTACTTTCTGATGATTGTGAATTTTTACCAGTAGCTGAATTAAGGAGACTTTTGACACCATCCGTGTCATCATACTCAACTGATGTCTCCCCCTCCTCTATTTCTGCAAAAGAGCGCTTGGAGGTGGAAGGGTGGTCAGTGACCATTTGTTGTGGATTTGCCGCTGCTAATGCAGTAAATGCATCACCAATTTTGTTAATGCCAGTGGTAACAGATTCCATCGTGCTTTGAATTGTTTTCAATGCACTAAAGATGTTTTTTTGAATCTGATGATGTTTCATCATTAGAAGGCCACAACAGGGCATCCTCATCATAACCAGTAGCCATGATACTTATTTACAAAGTTAATCCTTTGTTCACTTAACACGCGGGAAAGTCTTAAATAACGGTGATATTCTAGTAAAGATAACAAACCCACACTGAAGCAGAGCTGAAAGCGCACCGAGGTCTGATAAGCTAGCGCTATCTCATTTGGTTTCGTAATGACCTTGATAGTGATGAAGTAGAATGTACATTACACATGCATAAGCATCATGGATGAATTGTATGTCCATATTGGCTCTCCAGGATTTTAGAAAAACAGGGTTATAGTCGTTGATCCTTAGTTCATCTAATTCTCTTTTTAAAGAAAAAAGTTGTGGTTTTTATGCCCCGCCACGAATATGACCGGGGCATATAGTGTTTGTCATGTCCGTCTTCCGTCTGTTCTTCCGTCGCGATTTGCGTTTTAACTAAGTTCAAAGCTCAGTTTCAAAGAAACTATCAAATATATTTTCATCAAACTTCATATGCTGATAGATATTGATGAGAGCTTTGTAACTGCATCAAAATTTGTGGACTTTGATCTTTTCTTTGACCTTGACCTCACTTTTCCTAAATTAGTGTTTAGCTTAGTTTTTAAGATACCATTCAAGATAGTAAAATCAAACTTCATATGTTGATACATACTGATGAGAGTTACTCAACTGCTTCAACATTTTTGACCTTCAACTTTCCTTTGACCTTGACCTCACTTTTCTTTAATTAGTGTTTAGCTCAGTTTTAAGGAAACTATATTCATGATAGTATTGTCAAATTTCATATACTGATACATACTGATGACAGCTATACAACTGCATCAACATTTTTTGACCTTGACCTTTCCTTTGACCTTGACCCCACTTTTCTTAAATTTGTGTGTAGCTCAGTTTTGAAGAAACGAAGATATTTTTATCAATCTTCATATGCTGATACATACTGATGAAAGCTATTCAAATGCATCAACATTTTATGACCCTGACTTTTCCTTAGATCTTGGCCTCACTTTCCAAAAATGTCCAATTAGTTCAATGAAACTATTTAAATAAAACCTTGTATGGTAATATTTATTGATAAGAGCTATTCAACTGAATCATCATTTTCTGACCTTGACAATTTCTTTGACCTCGGCCTTACTTTTCATACCTCGACCTTACTGTCCAAAAATTTGTGTGTAAATCAGTTATAAAGAAACTTTTACAGATTGTTCATGGCAATTCAGTTGTGTCATAATCTTCTGACTTTCATCTTTGCCTTGACCTTAAAATTTTTTTTTTAAAATCATTTTATCATAGTGTATTCTATTGAATCCATATAAGATTAATTTATGAAACTCCTTTACATATAAATCTCTTTGGGTGCATTTCAAACTTAACCGGATTTTTTTCTTCAATTCACTTAACATTTCGAGATAGCAGCTATTTTCTAATGGAGAACAATCTCAGTGCACAGTGTGATATCCATTTCATGCGAGTATAATTTGTTTTCTGTTATATGTTATTTTGAATCATGATACCTTTTCTATTTATAATAGACAGCATTTAAGCAATGCAAAATAAAAAGTGATATTTTTTTAAATACAACACTTGACGTTGTCGTAGAAATAATGTATTAGATTTAATAACAATAAAGAAGAGTGTTTAAAAGGTTTCCTTTTTTTACAATGTATTTATGTGTGATATGACGTAAACAACTCAGATTTGGCTGTATTGAAGGTTTTAGAATGAATAACATTAGAGAACAGTGTTTCAAAGGTTCTCTTTACTTTTTAAGCATTTGTGATTTGACTTGAAGACAACTCAGATTTACCTGTATAAAAAGCTAGCACCAAACCCAACTAATGGTGTTAACCCTGATAATTATACATTCACAACAAGGGAATTCCTGATTGAAAAAGCACTTGCTGTTATTTTTGTATTTCTGCGAATTCCTACTTTTATTGAGGTATCAATATGAATTTCTTCTTTTTTTTCATGTGTTTTCTTTTTAATATTTCTTTTTATTTAAACCTCCTTAGAAAGATTTTATATTTAAAAAAAAATGTCTTAAATTTATTTTTTTTTATTTATTCATGAATGAAGCACAGAAATGATCTGGTAAATACTAATGTATTCTTCATTCAACATGTATGGAACAGTCAACCAAACGTGATTTGCAGTGGTTTGAATTCATTTCATATTATTTTTCAACAGCAGAATTCAAAATTTAAAACTACTAAAACTATAAATAAGTAGAGTTTAATAGCGTAGTTGTAGTGCTATTTATGTTCCCCAAACGAAGTTGCAGAACATATGGTTTTTACACTTTTTTGCATGACCAATTTACTTGATATCACCGTAATTTTTTAAAAATTCTTTGACACCTACAATATAAAGACATAATAAAAATATAGATAGGATGACGTGGTCAACATGCACATGCATGTACGTTCACTTCATTAAATGACCAAATATATTTCATATAAATATTATATTTTTTGAAGATATCTTTGATACTGAGAGTATTATGATATCTTAAAAATGTAGACAAGATGACGTGTTCCTCTTGCTCATGCATGCATGTGTGCACGCTTGCAACGGGAAAAATGACCCAATATACTTGATAATGCCGTAATTTTTATAATTTTTGATAAAATGCTTTGAAACTCGAAATATATAGACATATTAAAAATTTTGACAAGATGGTCAACATGCACATGCATGCAGTGCACAGAAGCAATTAGTAAAATGACCAATATACATGATATAACCGCAACTTTTACTTTTTTTTAAATGCTTTAATACTCAGAATATAAAGATATATTTATAGTGTAGACCAAATGACATGGTTATCATGTACATGCATGCACTTGCACATGTGCAATGCATAAAATGACCAAAATACTTAATGTAGCCGTAATTTTGTATTTTTATTGAATTTTTTGATACTCAGAATATAAAGATATATTGATAGTTTAGACAAGAAGACATAATCATCATACACATGCGCGTGGGTGCAATGCGTTAATTGACTGATATATTTAATATCACTGTAACTTTTATATTTTTTTGTTTGAAATCCTTTGATGCTGAGATACAAAGTTATATTAATAGTGTAGACAATATGACTTGGTTTTCTTGTGCATGCATGCACTTGCGCACGTGTAAGATGCTGAGTACAGGTCTAAATCTATATAGCCTTCCAACTGCAATTCTGGCATTTTAACTTCTGATAATGTATTATTCTCAAACAGGTATTAAGAGAAAAAAAAACTGACACAAAAGCATATAAAAACTAATTTTTTTTTTTACAGATCATGCAGAGCATTAAGAGAACTTTTGATCAACTCGAAAATACTGAACTTTTCATTTTGGGTGCTTTGCACAAGATTAAAAAGGAACGATGGATGAAGGAGAAAAGGACTTAGAAGCTATTGCCAGAAAATGTAAATCTGTGGTTAAATCTCTTCAGTACAAATTTGATAGTATTTTTAAAGAAAATGAAAATCTTAAGAAAGACATTGAAACTTTAAAAAAGCAATCACAAGATATGGAAAAGGAGAAAGACAAACTGAAAGAAGAGTTGAATCAATCGCAGTCCATTGTGTCATCTGTGTTTTTATTCCGACAGTGATAAGCATTCTGATGAGGGTTTGTCAGGGAATACAGCAGGAAATGGAGAAGATGGACAGTGGAGTGCACCTTCAACACCAGAAGTGTTATAAATACAAATGGAAAAATGAGAATTAATTTATTAACCATATAGTTTTGGAGCTATTGTAAAAATTAATTTTTCGACATGTTGACCTTTGGCAAAACCTTAAGTCAAATGCTAACTAACTTTTTTCATACTAATTGTTAGGCCATTATTTACACACTGGATTGTCGACTGATTTTTCCGTTATTTCCCGATCATGTCGAGCACACGGCGGGTGTGACCGGTCGGCAGGGGATGCTCACTCCTCCATGGCACCTGATCCCACCTCTGATATCTTAGAGGTTGGCGTTTGCCCTGCTCCTTTTTTGTAATGTTTAATAAACTTTAGAGCTCGAATACTTTTCGTTATCTCCATATATT